CTGATAGGTTTAAATGTAGATAGACTGATAGGTTACATAGGTGTGTGTACTTATCTAACTGCAGCAGTTTTTAGGTCACAGCCAGTCGTTTTTTATCTCTGTGCCTGTCTATTATGACAAACATCATCATTTGTCTGTAAATATTTCAGTGTGTGTCTCTGAGAAATGGGGGTAGAAAACCAACCATGCTCTGAAGGGCCCTGGTTTCTTTGTGGTCTGTCATATTTGGAGCAATAATCTGGGCACTTAGGGTTGCTCATTGCTACAGGGTTATTCATTATTTCTATACCTTTTCAGTTCACAGAGCTCAGCATTTTTTTTTTGAGAGGGCATCTCTCATATTTATTGATCAAATGGTTGTTAACAACAATAAAATTCTGTATAGGGGACTCAATGCTCAATGTACAATCATTAATCCACCCCAAGCCTAATTCTCGTCAGTCTCCAATCTTCTGAAGCATAATGGACAAGCTCTTACATGGTGAACAAGTTGTTACATAGTGAATAAGTTCTTACATGGTGAACAGTACAAGGGCAGTCATCACAGAAACTTTCAGTTTTGATCACACATTATGAGCTATAAACAATCAGGTCAAATATGAATATTTGTTTGATTTTTATACTTGATTTATATGTGAATCCCACAATTCTCCCTTATTATTATTAATATTATTATTTTTAATAAAATGCTGAAGTGGTAGGTAGATGCAAGATAAAGGTAGAAAACAGTTTAGTGCTGTAAGAGAGCAAATTTAGATGATCAGGTGTGTGCCTGTAGACTAAGTGTTAATCCAAGCTAGACAAGGGCAATAAAACATCCACGGATGCAGATTTCTCTCAAAACAGGGGGGTGAGGTTCTAAGCCTCACCTCTGTTGATCCCCAATTTCTCACCTGATGGCCCCGATGCGACTGTGCCTGTCTTAGGTTGTTCCTCCCTTGAGGAATCTTACCCGTCACAGAGCTCAGCATTTTTAAAGCCGTATCATGACTTCATACTGACACTTTCAAATTCAGGACTATAGGGTTTTCCTTTTCATATGCTGTCCCATTCTCTTTGATTTAGTCTTATTCCTGAATAATAACTCACAGCAAGTCTGCTCATGCATTATTTCCCATTATGTGTACCTACCCAAATAATTTTCTCAAGGTCACTTTCTTGACCTTGGTTTCCTTTTTATTCATGGTTTGTAGACCCTCTGGCCCACAGTGATTTACAGATTCACAGCATGCATACGTCACTGTCATTTAACAATTATGTGACACTCCAGGATTTACTGAGTTTTAAAAATTGAAATATGCCCACAGAAAACTGCTTAAATATTATGTACAGCATGCCATTACCAGCCCCTTTCATGCTTCCTCCCAAATACTACTCTCCTTTCTGTCTTCCAGAAAAAGAAAAAAAAAACTAGTGTCCTGATTTGAAATAACTATTAATTAGGCTTACCTACTTTGGAACCTTAAAGTTTTGTTTTAGCATTCATGACTTGGGAGAAAGAGATCTTTCTTTTTAGCTCTTTCTAGCTCTAATTCTGGCCAAGTAGCGTTCAGAAAAGATCTTCATCTTTATCACATTCAAAATTTCTTTCTAATACCTTAGGAATATAAATAGAAACCCAAGCACAGGCGCTCTTGGTTTTGTGTTTCTTAGCTGTTTATGTTTTCCAACTGATGTGTGCTTTGCATGTTTCCCCTTTCTTTTGAGTTATTTGTATTAGGGATATTAGATTTTTTTACCTATTTTGTTGGAGATATTCTCTCCCAGTCTTTCATTTGCATTTAAACTTTATTGCTATACGGGATTTAAAATATTTTCTGTAGTATAATCTGACAGTTCAGTTCTGTGTCCTTTCACACCCAAGATTAATTATGTTTAAAAAATTTGTTTTCTTTTAGCTTTCTTTAGTTTCTCATTTTAGTTTGATTGTTTATATCTGTAATCCACCTGGGTTTGAATGTAGTGTGAGGAATTCCCAACAACATATAAATGTAGATAGGATGTTTAAATTTATTTCTTTGGCCTTTCTCATTAAAAAGCCTGCTTGAATTTCATCTACCTATGACCCTCTACACTTTTCACCCACAGATAAAGTTCAAACTTCCGTAGTTTCCAAAGGCTCTTTGCTATCCAGCTTCTGACATTCTCTGTAGTTTCAACTGAATCCCCACCTGTCGTTCCAGGGCGGAAAGATGTTCCTGGCCCTGCGACTCCCGGATGAAACCAGTGAAACTGAAGTAACTCAAGGGAAAGGATAGGTTGGGAGAAACCGTTTTTGTTTTTTTTTAATTGCGCACAGCTTGCTCAAATTCGCTCGTTAGGCCCGGCCCGTCTGTCTCCTCGGGCTGCCGCTCTCGCGCCGCCGCCTCGGGTGCTCTCTCTACTTCCTGCGCGCTCCTTCTGCAAGGAACTACATTGGCGGGTCCTTGGTGACTGGCAGACACCAAACCAATTAGTACCAGGAAAGGAGGGGAGGAGAGAATGACCATTATCTCTCTACCCCTTGCCCGACTCCCGCAGCTATAAACAACTATTGATATGTAAATGGACTAAGGCCAGGTGGGAGATTCTGAAAATTCTGCAGTTTACTCCACACCCCCCAATACTTTTATTCTAGCTATATACTGATTTCTGTATTTCAAGTTTTTGTATATGCTCATGTTTCTAAACCTTGTTACCCTCCTCCCACCCCCTCCCCTCGGCCAAATCCTTTTGTCTTATTTTAGGTGTCTCTTTTCAGAAGCCTTTTCTGTCTCTTAATGATTATAATGTTCCCTTCTTTTGTGCCCCTCCAATTCCTCTACTTATGTTGGAGCATTTACTACATGTTGTAATAGCCTGTTTATTTCTCTGGGAGTTACGAGCTGGTATAGTCAAGTATTAGGTGATGCAATGCAGATTAATGATTATGGTAGTGCAGACTAAAAGTATAATTAGTAGGAATTTAGCAGAAGTCAAAAGAAGACTACTTGGTAAATTATTCCAGGAAGGCTTCATGGAAGATGATAGTACTTGAACTGGACCTTGCAGGAGGCGTTCATAAAGGTATGGTAATGATCTGCCATTATAGATAGATAATACCTGTTAAATACCTGTGGATCTTGACAGATGTGGCTCCATGCTAGTGGCAAAAGCTATGACAGGTGAGATGTTGGGTATTCTTCAACATTGCTTTTGCATTACTTAATATGAAACAAGCAGTGTATACAGTAACTCCCGTAGAAGAAAAGTGTGCAAAAAGTGTACAAAAGACTTAAGAACTTGAGTGTGTTGACAAAAATGAGAAGCAATGATATACTTTATGGGAAAGGTAAGGACATTTTCAAGGGTAATTTTGACCATTTATGCTAATTTCAGGTCTTACCCATCTGTTCTATAAAACTTCATTGGACTTCTGATGGAAAATGTAGCAGTTGTGTGATTCTGGATAAATTATAGAATCTTACAAAGACTCTTGCATATGCAGTGTTGGGAAAAAAATGATCTAATTATGTGTTCATCTGGAAAAAGGACTCTCAGTGTAGAAAATTAGTGCCCATATTGCAGTTGTGTGTGCTCTGCTCTGTTCCTCAATTGACAGTAAAAGCAGCCGTTTCAGCTCTTTTCCAGTATGTCTGCAACATATATGACATGCGGTATTTAAATGCATAAACAAAATAACAAGATTGAAATGCAATCCCTATCTAAATGTCTTTGTATTTTCAGTACCTTACCCTTTTTTTATAGCATAGAATAGCTATTTAAAAGTAAAAAGTCATTTCTTGTGTTTTGAAATAACAGTATTGATTTAAAACTAATAAAAGTCTACTTTGCCCATTAGGCAAAAATATTAGACTTAAAAAAAATCTCCCCTCAGATTTTGAGAGAAGCAGCCAATTATGTTTAAATATAAAAAAACCTTTCATTTTTGATGCTCTGTGTTTCACTGGCATGTTGGGGTATTTAAATCCTAGTTGTTGAACACTACATATGATTCCTCAAAAAGTTAGTATCCTCTTCTCAGTTACTAACATACTTTGTTCAATCTTTTATAATAAAAGCACTCTGAGTTGTATCACACCTACTTCTATCATTAGAATGACCTCCTTGAGGATGATGGCAGGAGATAAATGGGAATTACAAACCTGTTCAGACTCCCAGCAAGTCCTTTCTGAACTGCTTTCCTCTAGCCTGTTTTGTTTCCACTTGTCATTTTGAGCCAATCAGTACACACACTAACATGATTATGGTAATGGCTTCAGAGAAGTATATGTATATCAGTGTACTACATCAGATTATATAATTAAAAATGTGCAGTTCACTAAACTTCAATTATACCTTATTAAAGCTGTCTTAAGAAAATCCTTACATGATACTCACCATCAGTAGGTCCTTACTTTATTAAGCCCTGTCTTTTCAGGAAGCATTCACTTTCTCTTTACCTGTTCCTTTAGTCCCCAGTTGGCTTGTGTCCCACCACCTCACTAGTCCTTTACCTCTGTTTTTTTTTTTTTGTCCCCAGCCCTCCATGGTCCTCATCCATGCCAGCACACTCTTGGAAGAGAAAAATTTCACGATGTCACTGCCATTCCTGTAGACTCTAGCTGTCATTCTTAAGCCACTCCTGTGTGCTAGAAGCTGTAGCCAGCGGAGGGATCAGCACAGACAGGATACGTAGCCTCTGCTCTCTCTGTGCTCGGAGTCTGATGGGCCATACATGAACACCAACTGTAGATGTATATCCTCAAGATTAGAGAGGACTTGTCAGGTAGAGTCAGATACTAGTGTAAATGAAGGTTGGTTAAGCTCAGGAAATGCCTGTGAAAATATATTAGGCACTCTGTTAGTGTTTCTGAAAGTGCACCCTAAGAACACAGCAGAAGAATTACCAGAAGTGCTGGTTTGATTTCCCTCTGAACCAGAATCTCTAGGGGTTGGGCCTGGATATCAGTTTTTTGACAAGCTATCTATACATTATACCTCTATACCCATCAAAGGGCTACCTAGAATGGTAAGAACGTAGTAGGAAACCAGGGTACAAGTTTAAACGGACAGTAGACGCTGGTTTCTGGATAGTTTGCTTTATCCATTGTTTCCTTGTGTTACAGAAATGGAAATGTGTTGGCCATCAGGTAGCATTTTGCTAATGGAGCCAGGTATATCCATTTAATAATACAGAATTTGTAACATATATTCAAGTTTTTTCATTTTTCTGTTGGGTAAAAATGTGCTAAAAGTCTTGATCAGTTTTTTCTTTTTCCACAGAACTTAACAAAAATCCAGTGGAAGGCTTTTCAGCAGGCTTAATAGATGATAATGATCTCTACCGATGGGAAGTCCTTATTATTGGTCCTCCAGACACGCTTTAGTAAGTATGATGGAACTGTTATCAAAATAAAGATCTAAATAATTGGAATATAAACAATTTTGGCAAACTGGAGTGAAATTATTTTTGAGAGAGTCCTCAAAATGGCTGTGTTTAGTATTTGTACTGAAAGGTCATGTCTAGGCTTTTTGTGTTCTGCTTGAAACTCTCATGTGTAAAATCTGTTGCTTTCTTAAGTATATAATAGTTTCAGAAGTTCAGGTATTGATACCTGGAATAAGTTTATTACAGAAAAGCTATCTTTAATGTGATGTTTTATATAAATAATACCTTGTATTGCAGATACTGGATTAATTTGGGCAGGTTAGGGAAAAGCAAAATGCTTTACTCAAATATTTTGCTCTCCTCCCTTTCCTTGTGCTTACTGTGCCTTGCCCTGCAAAAGGAACATTACAAATTTAAAGGCAATGCTTTATCATTCTTAATACTTTATCAGTTTAATTAAAGCATAATATTATATCTGGGAGATTTTCATATATAATAGTGTATGTGTATATATATATATAAAGTATCTTAAGCAGCTTGGAAAGAGCTTTCAAGATCATCAGTGTGAGTGACAGTTCTTTATTTGGTCCTCCACAGAAAACTGGTCAAAACTTTTTTGGGGTTCTGACCTTATACTAATATTCACCTTTTCCCAGATTATTAAAGTGATTTGTATAGTTAATCACTATTAACGATGTAAAGATAGACAACAGAACAATCCAAGAGCAATAGAAAAAGAGACGGAATTTCTGAAAATATTTTATGTAATACATTTTTAGAAAGACCACAGTCTTCTGCTTTGAGTGTTTGCAGACTAACTTAAACTTACTAAGATTTATTGTTCTATAGGATGAATCATGACTACCTGAAGTTAGTGTGACTGGTACAAGTTCCATTTTTCTTTATAGAAATGGGAGTTTGGGAAAAAATGCAACAACCTTCTCAAAGCCATTACAACCAAGGGACAGCAGGGACAGATCTACGTATGAGTTTCTTGGGGACTATACTTAACCCAGTGGTGATCAAGTAGTTTCATTTTAGGTGTTTTAAGATGATAACTCCTCCCCCCACTATAAAATACCTGATGGAAAAGAAAATTCATGGCTATTTCTATACCAGAGCAAACTGGTATATGATATACAGAGTTGAGCTGTAGTGTAGATTTCTGGATTTCTATAGCTTGAACAAAATGATACGGTTTTGTCACAACTATTGCCAATCAGAATTTTTGCTGATATATTTCCCAGTGATAGGTTTACATTGGTAATTCTTGAATACTAACTCAATTTAGTCAGGACTTTCTGCAGTGTTAGTTTGGAAGATAAACTAGTAGCCATCCCAGAGATGTTCCCTGACAACCATAATACTGTTTGAAAGCAAATTTATTACCAAATTTCACACATAAGAACCATATATACAGCCTGGTTTATGAGGCTGATGAAGTTCAGACCCGTTCTTGTAGGATTTTTAATCAAAACACATTGCATGAAAGTTAACTAGGGGAGACACTGATATTCCAATGACAAAATCTTGTTACTCTTATGGTTGATATGATGAGATAAATTCTTCTAGTGTCTGAATAGAGGACTGATTAGGCATCTAGAGTTGAGCTCCATCTCTAAGGACCTCAAAGAATTCTTAGACTTTTTCCATGCAGTGGTGGCAAGTATCTCTAAAAATTTCTACTGGTCCATGTACATATATTGTGTACCTCCAGTTTCACCAGAAAGAACTTTTTAATACTTACTAATTAACAGGCCATTCTTTCCACCAATAAAAAACTATTTCTGGCCTTCAGTATACATTTAAACAGTGCTGGCTCTTGATCTGAGATATGGATGGCAGAAGCATATGTGGCAGCTACTCTGGAATGTGGACTTACTGATGCGACAACAGGTGGCCACTTCTGCATTGTCCCTTCCTGATGCGAGCGCCGGTGGCACCTGGGCTGTAGTTTATTCTCAGTGCCACACATACTTCAAGCATCCTGTGAGTAATCAAACCTTAATTCAGTTGATAGACATTATAATAATTATCCCAAATTACCTGGATATTAATCCTTTTTATTAATGACCTTTTCTAAAATTCATGTGCTGGAAGTTATAAAATTATTTTTAAAGCCTTCAAAAAAGAGGTTTAAGCTTTATTAAGATGTACTGAGTCAAGGATATCATTTCTGGCCATTTCTTACAATAGTTGCAAAAATAAAGCACTACATTGGCATTTAAACTACTCATTCATTTAGTTCTCAAATGTTTTTTTGAGCACTCTCATACTAGATGCTGGGAACATGATCTTGAATTAGCTGATAGTCATCACTCCTGAAGAGGTTGCACTTTAGTTGGCAAAATAGATCATTTCATAGTAATTTAATAAACTTTGATGATAGCCACAATGGCAGTGGGCATGGGGTATTACAGGAACTCATTGGGTGGATTTTGAATGTGTCTGGTCATTTTTCCCAGAGGAAGAGATGTCTAAAGTGGGAACTGAAGAGTTAGTATCTATATTAGTTTGTAGGCTTTTGGCTACAAACAACAAAAATCTGATTCTAACTGGCTTAGAAAGTGAGGGAATTTATTGTCCTGACGTAAGTAGCAAAATGGCTACAAGTTTTGAGCATTTCAGAATATCACTCCAAGGAAGAAGAGAGGGTAATTTCTTCTTGTGTTTTATGTATTTCATATGTAGAATGAAATGTAGCAATCTCCCCTCACCCCCACCCCAGAAGCTCTCCAGCAGACCCTGCCTCTTGTCTCCTTTGTCAGAGTTGAGTCACTTGAGTTTCTTTATCTAGTAATTGCCAAGATGAATGGGATTGCCACAGTTGGTTTAGATTAATTATTCTGGGATGGAAGAGATTTGGGGCTGTCAACAGCTAGGTTGAGAATTAACTAGACAGATATTCTCTGACAGTAAGAGGTGGGGGGTTACGTGGAAGGGAAGCTAGGATTAAGCATTTCTTAGGAGGGAGAATTGTGTATATATGGGCCTAGAAAATAATGGATGGGAACAAGGGTGTGGCAACTGAGTAAAGTATGTATAAATTGAAAATGAAGTTGGATAGGGAGCTGAGGGGCTAGTTGAGGTTTATAAACACTGTTGAAGAGTTTGGATTTATCTTATGTACGGAACAGAACATAACCATTAAGGAATTTGACAGCAGGAGTTAACTAGTTAGGTTTACATTTTAGAATGTGTATCAAATTACAAAGTATCATAACTTTGTGTTTATGGTTTTTATTTTCCTTCAGCTCACTTGTATTGTATTTCTACAACAAAAAATATGTTCTTAGCAATGTTACAGAAAAATTTTGTCTGGTGTAAAAAAAAGGACTGGGAGTTGGGTTGACGTGGCAGTAAGTGGGAAGTTGATGAGCCTTTGCTCAGTGGATACAGAGACAGCACAGGTTCCTAGGGCAAGACCCTGAGAAAAGCAGAGGAAATTAGCCAGAAAGGTATAGAGGAAAATGCTTTATTTAAGGTATCTAAAATGCTACCAAGAATAAAGTATCAAGAATCCAGTTTGCTGATACAATAGTAAGGAAATTAGTGGGGTTTTTTTGGTAGTTATTTTAGTGGAGTGAAGAGGCTAGGGGCCATATTGTAGTTGTTTGAGGAATGCTATTTGTCATGAATACATAGACTGACCTTAAGTGGGAATAACTGCCTATGAAGAGAAACAGAGGCTGATGATGATGGGGAGGGGATTATGGAATTGAAAGTAAGTTGATGTAGGCGTAGATGGTACCCAAACCTGTGATTAAACTCACCACTTAATACTTAGCTCATATATGTAATGAAAGAATTAATACTGAAGTTCTTTAAAAGTTGGTATGTTACTTAATGGGGGCATCATCAGCCCCCATTTGGTCACTAGAGGGCACTCCAAGTGCTACATGATCTGTGTAATCAATAACATATATTCAACATTACTTTATTTGAGACTGATAATAGCCGTGAGTGTTTAGTCATTATTTTTATCTTTACAGAGTATTAAATTTTTATTATTGCTCTGTCCATTAATTAATCTTGCCAGTGCTGTTAAGACTATACTCTTAAGGCTGTCTTTCTGTGAAAGACATTCTGAAGCTGGGGCATTATACCTGCTGTTTTCAGACTACTGATTATCAAGTAGTGTGGACAGCCAGAGAAAGTTGAGGAGACCCATATATCATCGTGTAATTATAAATTTTGTAAGTTTGTGTTAGTGAATGATGAATGTATACCTTCTTTTATCTTTTATTCTGTTTTTCTTCAGTCACTAAATGGCCAGTCTGTCCAAGAAGTAAACTTAATAATTTTGGTTCTTACCGCTGGCAATGGTGTGAAATTTTGTTGGAAAATCTTAAGATTATATCTATTTTATAGTATGGCCTTACCTTGAGGGGTGGATTTAGAAAATGTAGAGCTGGCTAACCAAACTTTCTAATTAATATACTTTTACAGTACCAAAGTTCTTTTATAGTTTTAAGACTTAGAGACACAAGCCATATATTCTATAACAAAATTTTAGAGGTAATGAGCCTTGTGCCTGCATCTCAGAAACAGGATCAATGGCAATACCATGCCCATTTATCATTTACTGTTTAAGAAAATGGGCCTTGGGGACTTTTTCCATTTAGCTTCTGACTACCACTTTTAAGAGTTGTGTGACTTAGAACAATTAAATTTCATTTTAGCTGTTTCGTTTCTAGGGTAAAAATCCTATGCCTTGGAAGTATTCAGAATGTTTAGTGTTCTATTTCTTGTAATAGCAAAAGATGGAAGCAGCCGAATATCTTAAGAGTGTAATGGATTAATTGTGAAATGTAGCAGGTAAAATGAATGAACAAGAGACAGATGATCTACAGGAATATATATAAAAGAACAATGTTGAATAAAATTTCAGACAGCAGCATACACAAGTATATCATTAAAGTAAATATGGCAGAATATAGGATCAGATCCTTGTAAGATTTTTGTGATTTAATTCAAAAACAGAAAGGAAGCCTCATAGAAGAAACTTGAACTAAGCTAGATTCCTCAACCATTTCAACTGAAACTGTTGTTGTATACCTCTTTTTTAATGTCATGCTAGTAATTACACTATTAGTATCTGATTAAGAGAATACAAAATGAAAGGGGAAATTTTTAAATTCCATTTTATCACAGTAGCATCTTTGTATATTTGAAACATAGTGACTGTGAGACATGTTAATGTTTAGTTAGTCTATAACGTCTTATACCTGTGGGTTTTTAAGTTCTTCTCTGCTGATGTGGCTGTTTACTAGAAGTCCACACCTACAAGTTGGAACTACTGAGCTAGTCTTTAAAAAAAAATAGGTAGGATTTCCCAGGTAAAGGAGAAGTTAAGGAGTCTACCTATAGGAGAAAAATAATAAGGAATAGCATGGTTCAGAATGGGTGAGGGCAGCAGACAGTGAAAATTGTGTGCTTTTAAACTTCTTAGGATAATCCTGCTAATTAAATTTGATATTTTAAAGATTGAAAGTAACTAAGGAAATTTTTAATGATAAAGATTCCAGTCACCTAATACAAAGCTTTTAAGTAGATCTAACCAGAGTAGGAAAGCTAACAATATTGAGGAAAATGTCCTTACCAGTAGAATAAGGTGCATGGGCTTTGGGGCAGCTGTTTTGATGTCCTTTTAGATTCTTGGCTATTCTCTGAATTTGTGGCTTTCAAACTTCTTTTTGTTTCACAACCCATAATTGGAAATATTTTACATCATACCCAGAGTATACTCATGTATACATTTTAGTGAATAGAAATGTGCATGTAGATAATGTAACTGAAACAAACTACTTGTTAGAAGGGCTTGTGTTTTCTAGTCTGTTTTTACTTGTTTAAAAAGAAAACTGGTTAGTGACTCACTCAATGGGTTTTGCATCCTCAGTTTGAAAAACGTAGTCTATATAATTAGTATTTCCTAAGGCCAGCTTTGGCCCTGACTTACTAGACAGTTGGGGTTAACATAGCCTGAGAAGACAGATTCATCTCCTATCAAAGGTGTAAGGTATTCTTCATGACAGCTATTCCATCCAGTCTCTATTTCTCTGGAATCTTAATATTTTTTCCCCTTCCATAGATAATCTTATAAATTCTGAAAATAAAAGCTGTAAGGCACAGATAAAATTTATCATTTTTCTTCCTTTCTATTCCTGGATATCTGTACTGCATTCACTCTTGTTTTTCTTCTTGCACAGAAGGAAAAGATGCTATTTCTTTTTCTTGGTTAGGCCCTTTATTACCCTTATTTTCTTTCTTTCTTCTGATTTCACAGTTATTTCTTTTCTGAGTATCTCTAGTCTTTCTGCCAGCACCCTCCCATTTCCTTGCAAACAAATGAGGTTTTTTCTTGTCTGTTAAAGCATTTGTGTACCATCTCCCCATCTATTTGCCATCTTCTTTAGTTATTCAACTTAACCAAATTGTCCTGTTCATAATATGCTTGTTCCTTACTACCCCATTCCTTCTTTAATCCTTTGCAGTCTTTTTCTTACTGCTTTTACCTAAATTGTATTAACAAGATTACTTACTCTACTCAGAGTACAGTGGATTTTCGTGAATATTCAGAAGTATTTGGTATTAGTGATCTACCTTTCTCCTATTTTTAAGCACACTGCACCCCCCTTCCCTCCTTATTTATGTGATCACAAAAAGGCAATAAAAATTAGTAGTTGTTTGTGGTTAAAATTCAAGCTATATTGGAATGTACAAAGCAAAGTAAAAGATCCCATAATTCTGTGCTCTATCGTTAACAGCTGTTATGCATTGTTACAATGTTTTCAGAAATTTTTCTCTCTGTATACAACATGCCCTTGTTTTTTTTTCCCTTTAAGACAAATGGGCTTATTCTATAGATACTTGTGGTTTTTAAAGTTTATTTAACAATAGATTGCTCATTCATATCATTCCATTACTTATTATTTCTATTTTTCTTGATATTTTCCTTGGCACTAAAATGGTGTCATGAAACCAGTGACCTTTAATATCTTGTTCTCCATTGTATCCTTTTACATAGAACAGTGCTGCCTGCAAATAATCAATGTATGTTCGTTTAACGAATTGAGAATTCCATTTCTCACTGATCTGAAACAAACACAATCATATGACCCTGTTCTGATGGACTGTATATTAAACAATAAAAGAATCAAATGTGCAGATTGCTGTTGCAGTAAAGAAATGAAAAGAGATCAGTGCGACAGAGGGACACAGTGGCTAGTTAAGATTGGATAGACAGGTAAAATCTTTCTCAAGTGGTAACATTTAAGCTGAGTTCTGAATGATGACAGGGGGAAGAGGTTGTTTCAGAGGAAACCGCTAGTACCAAGGACACAAGGCAGGAATTCTAAGTCACGTTTGCCCCTAAGACTGGCTTGATCTCATTGGTTTTCATTGTTTACGTATTGAATTCATTCGGTGGCTTTGACATTCTTCAAGAAGAGTTCCTAAGTAAGTGGCAGTGCTCTGGAATTAATCTAATACAGCAGTCACTAGTCACATGTGGCTATTAAAATTAAATTTGAAATTCAGTTCCTCAGTTGCACTAGCCATATTTCAAGTGGCTAGTGGCTGCCTATGGATAGTGTGAATATAAAACCTTGCCCATGTGCAGAAAGGTCTGCTACACAGTACTACTTTGGAAAGTCACTAGAATATAAACTCCTTGAGAGACTGTTATACTCCTAGTCTCTGACATAAAGGCTGAATAAATATTTGTTAAATGATGAGATGAATAATTTGTTAAATGATGAGATGAATAAATGGGTGAATGAATGGATGAGGAAGATAAGCACACCGGTTCCCAGACAGGGAACAAAATGGCATAAGCTCTGAGATGAGAAAGAGTTTGATGTGTTTGAGGAACGGGAAGAAGGCTAGCTGGAACAAAGCGAAGAGTGGTACTTTGAGATCTATCTACATAAAGAAACTGGCAGCTTGGCCCTATAGGCAATGTTCAACCTGCTGAATTTTGTTTTAAGCACAATGGAAAATGATAGAAAGGGTTGTAGCCCAGCAATAATGTGATCTGATCTGGATGCCTTTTTTAAAGGTATTTCTTATATTTAACTAGCTTCTTTAGAGTTTAATGTGGTACATATGATAGTTTATTAAACTGGGTATTTTAGTAGTAAGTAAACTACTAAATCCAGATTTTTTTTAACTTACTTTATTTGTAAGGTTAGCACTAGCACCCTTGTTTTAGGTTTCTTTTAATAATTGTCTACTTAGAAGAAAGAACTTAGGTAAAACTTGTTTTCGTTCTTTTTTCCAGTGAAGGTGGTGTTTTTAAGGCTCATCTCACTTTCCCAAAAGATTATCCCCTCCGGCCTCCTAAAATGAAGTTCATTACAGAAATCTGGCATCCAAATGGTGAGTTTATCTAGTTTTACTTTTGTTTTTGCAAGTATGGTAGCCAGTCACTAAAGTTTTCATGATTAACAGAAAAGATGTAGTTCTCAATGAAATTGCTTAGAAGTTTCAAAAGTTCATTGTGTCATTGTACCCATGGCCTTGTATTAGAAGGGAAGGAGTGACAGATTATATTTTTAAAGCATTAATTTTTTACTTAGTTTTCAACTCTTTTTGAGACTCATCATGTACCAGACTGGATCAAGGTTGGCAGGTAAAGCACAACATTAATAGAACTCTTAAATTGAGGAAATAATTTCCAAGGTATTGAGTGACTTCTTGGCTATTATAAAGAGCATAGAAGTAATTAAACCTGGACTTTTAAATTTATATTTTCTCATCTTAGCTGTTAGACCATAGGCAGCTCTTCACTTTTCGTATTCTTAGCTGCAAAAAAAGAATGTCCCACCTACCTCATTAGCTGACTGATGGGGTTAAATGAGATAAATAAAATCCTGTATGTTTCCACCTTTGGAAGGCACCTAGTACTGCTGTGCATGAAATGGTGACATGGACTCCTTTACCCAAAGGTGTGATACCATTTAAAATCCATTTTGTGAGCCAGAGATTAGGCTACATAAACTTTATAGCAGTGTCTGAACTTTGGGCCTTATTTGTCTGGTAGAGCTTGGGAGCCTTTCTTTTTTAAGTATTTTGACATCAGTTGTCTTTTTAGATTACCATAATTTGCATTCTGCTTTTCATAGACAAGACACTTTTGGTTACAAGGAAGAGAAACTCTTACATAAAGTTTAAGCAAAAACCAATGAGAGAGTAATGGAGGAATGAGTAAATTAGGGCTTTATTCCAAGGATATGGAATACATATTAGAACTCAGTGGACTGAAAAACAGACGGGTCTAGAAAGAGAGACTAGAACTGATGAATGGAAAACTTGGGAACCAAGACAACCACCATATTTCATAGCCTCTAAGAGACCAGTGATCACGAAAAATACATGGTTATTTTTTGTACCAGTTAGAAGGGAAAAAAATATCTCGAACAGTTGACTTGTGGGAGAATGCATTAATGGAAGTCCCACATGATGTATGGATGCATAAATTGATGATACTTGCCTCTTGGTGCTTTGACATTTCTTTCATCTCTCCTAGGCTTTCGGCAGTTTCTCCTGCCTTCGCTTGAATTGCTTGATGTGTAATAGGCAGTTTTTTACACCTATTTCAAAAGAAGATGTAACAAAGTTACTTAATTGAATGTTGACTCCACCACAAATTAGATGTGTAACTCTAGGCAAAGCCTCTTTGAGCCTTTGTTTCTCTATCTGAGAGTAGAAGGAGTGTGTATGTAAGCCACACATGGGACTTCCTTAGGGGGAAGGTCAGCAGTGGTCTAGGTAGTTTAAGAGGACAACTGATGAAATGAGGGTTTTTTCATTTTTGTTTTTAAGGTTGAAGAGACATTTTGTCTTGCAAGCTGTAAGAGAAAATAGCATTAGTGAAATAATTAAGACTTGATTTGAGAGAAGGGGATAGGTTGTGAAGAAAAGGGTACCTAAGGAAGGAGGTGATGGGGCGAGGATGGCAAGTAGATAAAGTGTTAGACTTCAGAAGTAGTGAAAAGTCGTTCTGAAGTAAGAATGAGAGGAAGAGTGAGCATTTGAGTATCTGCTAGGCACTGGAGATGTAAAGATGTTAATGAGTTACCTCTTTTTATAAGGATATTGTGGTCCATATAAGGGAAAGGTGGACATGCAAGCTTAAGAGTGAAACAGGGATGACAGTGATGTGTGGTGAGTGTGTGGTGGTAGCATGGAAGAGCAAGTCGGGGATGATTCTTAGAGAATAGGATTCTTGAACAGATTTTTGAATATGTAAATGCATGGCTTGAACTTTGTTCTTTAGGCTGTGGGGACTAGTTAAATTAATGAGTTTTAAAACTGTATAGTATAGTAGGTTCATCTTGTCTATATTGGAAGGGGAAGCCAGACTGATAGCTGGGAGGTAGAGGATTTATCAGTGGTTACAGTGAGAGGCAGTGAAGGCTTGAATGAAGAGTAGTGGCAGGAAGGAAAATTAAATTGTTCTCACTTGTTGGCTACCAGAGATAGATGGTAATGGAATTTAAAATTGGTAGACCATTTACAAAATAATTACATAATCAAAATCACAGTGAGATACCACTTTATACCCACTAGGATGGCTATAATAAAAAAGACTGATCATAGACAAGTGTTGGTGAGGACATAGAGAAATTAGAACCCTTGTACACTACTGGTAAGAATGTAAAATGGTGCAGCCACTTTGGAAAACAGTCTGGCAGTTCCTCAGAAGGGTGTATACATAGTTACCTTGTAACCCAGCAATCCCACTCCTACATATATAATCAAGAAAATTGAAAATGTTGTATGTCCATAAGATACTTGTACAAAAATGTTCATAGCAGCATTATTTATAATAGCCAAAAAGAAACAACTCAAATATCTTAATCAGTTGATGAGGAAAAAAACAAAATGTAGTATATCCATATAATGAAATGCAGTATTGACACACACTACAACATGGGTGAACCTTGAAACATACGCTGAGTGGATGAAACCAGTCACAAAAGACCACGTAGTGAATGCTTGTGTGACATGTCCAGAAGAGGCAAGTCTGGAGAGAAAGAGAGCAGGTTAGTGGTTGCCTAGGGCTCTGGGGAATGTTGGGAGGAAATGGGGATTGATTTAATGGGTTTCCTTTTTGGGGTGGTGAATTTCAATCTAAATAAATCCTAAGTCAATCTAAAGCTGATTTAAAGCTGATTGTGCTGATGGTTGCACAACTCTAAATATTACAGAAGCCATTAAATTGTGCACTTTAAAAATAGGAATATTTCAGCGATGCTCTTAAAAAATTGTTAGAGGGTAAAGATTAGCTTTGTGTGGCTTAGATGCATTCAGTTTTGGACTTGTTTTTCTTGAAGTACATTTACCATATACAGTTAGATAATTAGGTAAAACTAGTTCAAGGCTTCACAGTGAGCTCGGGGCCTTGGAAGTTATTGGCATCAAGATCAAATCATCAAGTACACCTTAAACTTCAACAGTGTATGTATGAATTAAATCTCAACAATGTGTAGCATTGTGAAATAATGATTGAGTTAAATTTATCAAGGTAAAAGATGATTAATGTTGGAAATTAGGATAACATCAAAAGTCAGACCAAGGAAGAGGAAAGCTAGAAAGTGACTGAGGGAATGACTCAAGAACCAGGGAAAAGAAGTGTGTCACAGAAGGTAAGGGAAGAAAACGTGTCTAGGAAGGTATCTACAACATCAGTTGTCTTGGCCCAGAAGGGTTAACTTTAAAAGTACCCAGAAGAATATGTGCTCACATTCCACTTTGTGAGAGCAATCATAGCATCCCAATTTGAGGCAGAAGCCAGTTTATAGTGAGGTAAAAAAGAAAATGCCCAAGTAGTGAGAGAATTGAGAAGATGAAGATAGAATCACATTTTCATAGTTTAGATACGCAGCTTTAAGGGCAAGGAGATCGCTTGAAGGGTATGCATGGTTCAGATGGTTTCGTTTTAAGATGGAAGAAGGAATTGTGTTTTCAGTAATTGATGCTGACAGTGTTGGCTAGCTATTTATGGGGAAATTGATTTAGAAGTTTTCTTCATACCAAATAGCAAAGTGAATTAAAGCTCTGAATGGAAAAAGAAGTTAAAAGTAGTTAAAAAAAATGAATATCGATAATTTGCTAGTGTTAGGAATAAGAATTTTCTAGTCAAAAGTAAATACTGGAAGAATAAAAAGAGAGTGAAGAGAAAAAGCAATTAAATGCAATATAGATTCTTAAATGGATCTTGTGTCAAATAATGAGGCCAGTTGTAAAGAAACGGCATTGAAATGAGAGGAAAAAGTAACAGGCAAAAACTAAATGGGGAAAATTGAGGAAGTGGTTTGGTGAGAAAAAACTAAACACTGAGTACATGAGTGGGTAAAGAGTGAGAACAGACATTTTACAAAAAAGGACTTAAGTATAGTTTCTATACATGGGAAACTTCCACTCCCAAAAGCATTTAGAAAAGTTAAACTATATTCTACGTGTGAAATTTTAAAATTACCAATAAAGACAAATCTGCTGAGTGAACAGGTGATGAAATTGTCACCTTGTATTGCTAATGGCAATACACATTTTAAAGTGTAATTTGGTAAGGTGTTAAGCCTAAAATCCTCTCATTCTGAAAAATTAAACTGTTTGAAATGACACAGGTTAAAAAATTTAAAGATGCTAGATTAATGATAATTCTTAAAAAGGAAAGTGGATTTTAAATTGATTGTCTCATATAATCCTATACAAATATTTAATATCCTTTGTTCAAAGAAAATGACTTGGAAAAAAACCTTATTTGTGTAAAAAGTGAGGAAAATATCTTAGTGTATAAGCATTTCATATTCAACTTTATAGTGCTGTTACAAGCTTGTTGTTGTTACTCTTGCCTCTTGATCTAGTATTCCATTTTAGTTAATAGATTTTAAGGTGATGGTGCCTTGGGAAGAGGAACCTTAATTATAGAGAAGCTCATATATATGACATTGAAGGCACAGGCCTTGTCTGCCCCATTCACTGCTGTCCCCTGGGTCAGATGATGTGGATACACACACACTGTACATTCAAGTAATATTTGTTATAGAGCACTAATACATACAAACTTTGATTCTGGTTGCCTGGAGTTTGTAACAGCATCCCCCTGAAGTTATAAGATGAAAAATAAGCTTTAAAATTATCTGTCATAAATATGTGAGACTTTAGGTGGAAAATAGGATATACATAGTACAATATACATACATATTGTCATTGGTTTTATAAGATTTGGAACTTTTGTTGAAAAAAATTTGGAACACCAAAATACTGTATACTACTATTTTTTTCTAACATTTCCAACTAAGTATGCTTTTTTTGGGCAGTGGGGAAATTTTTACTGTAAAATATAAGTGAATGATAGAATTTTGATAGTTTTACTAATGAGTTACTTGAGTGATATAAAATGAATTAGTAGATTAAGAGTTCACCCTGTTTTTGATTAACAATTCATGGCTTGGATTTTAAAATAGTTTTATAGAAAAGAGACCTCATGAATGTCATTTATATTGATGCATTTTCAGAGGCAATATGACATGTTCCTTTGGTGAATTTGAGGATATTCCTTTCCCTGAAAATACAATTTTTCCTTTATGTGATTAAAAAATACATTATAATGATCTTATTTTTTCCTTAGGATAGTCTCTGGACCTTTGACTATCACCAATTTAAGTCATTAAGTTAGTGGAGAAACTAACATGATTTCATAAACACTCAGTTCTGGTATTTGGACCTTATGTCTTCTACAGATGATTCACATAGTTGTCATTTATTCATTTCATTGTATTTACTTCTTGTAAATATGAGACAACATCTGCATGTTAGGTATCTTGAAGTTTTGCAAAAATAAAAGATAGCTTACTTTCCTATTGCACTTGTCAGATAGATCCTATTTGGTAAAATCTGTGGTCTTTATATAAAAGGTTAACAGGTTTCATTTTGGAAATTAACTTCTTTGTGTGTGTGTGTGTGTGTGTGTGTGTGTGTGTATATATATATATATATATATATACACACACGTATTTTCAGTGTTTTATACAAGTACCATGGGAATCAGGACCATGTAGATGTTTTGTGTATAACCAAATATAAAAATACTCATTTTAAACAGGACTCTTATTCTCTAATTTTGCAGTTGATAAAAATGGTGATGTATGCATTTCTATTCTTCATGAGCCTGGGGAAGATAAATATGGTTATGAAAAGCCAGAGGAACGCTGGCTTCCTATTCACACCGTGGAAACCATCATGATTAGTGTCATTTCTATGCTGGCAGACCCTAATGGAGATTCACCTGCTAATGTTGATGCTGCGGTAAGGTGGCCACACGCATATCTCCCCTCCCCTTTGATTGAATTCAAAACTATGGCATCTTTATATGTATCTTTCCCTCTCTTTTCTGTCTGTCTATATCTAAATATCTGTTTATACCCATTAATTTTTCTCCTGAATCTGTACAAAAATAAATGACAGCTAAGCTTCACCCTAAACACTTAAACTTGCATCTTTTAAGAATAAGGACACTATCTTATGTAACAATACTGTCATACTTAAGAAAATTTAATATCAAGCCTCTACTGAAGTACAATACTATTATATCAGGTTTTTATTTTAAAACTTTCAGGTCTACAAAAAAGTTGAATTAGTTAAATAAGCACTCCTATACCCTTCATCTAGATTCATCAGTTGGGGAGATTTTACAACATTTTTTTTCCTAAACAGTTAAAGAATACTTTACAGATACTCTTACCTCTTCATGCTTAAAAAGTTTGGCGTGTATCCTAAGAACAAGGGTATCTTCCTCCATAAGCACTGTACAAAATCTATCGCTGATGTAGTATTATTGAATATATGTACACAGTCTATACTCAAATTTCTCCAGTATTGTTCTTTATAGCTGCTTTCCTTTTTTTTTTTAAATCCAGAATTTAGGAACACATGTTCTATTTTGCACTCCTGTATTATTAGGCTTCTTTAGTCTACAGTAGTCTTAGTTCCTCAGCCTCCTATCATCCTTTGAAAAGCCTTTTGTTGTTCTTATTGGAACCTCTGTTAGCCGGAGATTAAATTCACCTTTTTCTTGGGTTACTTCAAACCTGTGTAGAAACTTGGGTGAGAGACTATATATAGGAAACCACTACATTGATAACCACTTTTCAAATCTGTTGCTTTAAAATTTTAAATTCAGTGATCAAATTGAAGTAAGAAACTGGCAGAAAGCCATTCTGACTTTCTATTTAGTCAAGCATCAGTCCAAACAACGCAAGAGACTATAAAGAAAAAGAGGTCATAGCTGCTTTTAAAAAAATGTCCTGTGTAATCATTTTGAGAGAGAACTAATTATTTTTTCTATGGATTCCTGCTTAACACTCAGCTTTTTAAAGAAAGATCAGAACTGAGAGTGTTGTAATCTTCATGAAAGATAAATTAAGAGCAAATACTTGAGAATAGCAAAAGCTAATAACTCTTCAAAACAGCTGAGGCTTGAAACAGTAGAACCTACTGAAAAGTAAAGTCATGCTCTTGATGGGTTAATATTTCCAAAAAGGTTATAAGTAGACTTTACAATATGACATTGAAATATGCAAATAGGACTTCTAGTCTGAATACTACAAATTGAGCAAAATCTATCCCACTCTTTTTCTTTAAACCCACTGCTTTTCTTTCTGATTTAATTAATTAGTTAGTTGTCTCATATTTAAATTACAGCTTTCTTTTGAACAGTTTTATTTGTAATTTCCCTTTGCATTGTATACTTTTCTTCATAATTTTGTTTGTCTTTCTAACCTCTAAGTGGTTCCTATTCCAGGAAATGCCCCTTGTTCTTGGAGACCTCTCTCCTGGATCTCCTTATCCTTTGGCTCCAAATTAGATATACTCAGCCTGCTTTGCTGATGCCTTCCTTGAATTTCCCCTTCCTGTTATTCTGGGTTTCCTGGATCCTGTTTCTTTTTTTCTTGAGTGACTTCTTCCTTTTGCTATACTTCATCCTAGAGTAATGTTTTAGAAAGGGTATGTGAGAACTAAATCCTGAGTCCTTATGTGTCAGTCAGTGTTTTTATCCTGACCTTATACTTGATACTTTGTTTTATAGAATTATAGGGGAGAAAATAAAATTTCTGTGAAATTTTCTTTTAGCGTTTATTGTTGCTGATGAGAAATTTGATGCGAGGCTGATTCTCCTTATTTGTAGACGAATACTCTGTTCTCTTGGTTCATTTCAGGTCATTTTCTTGATTCCTGGTCTTCTGAAATTTCACATTGTTGTGTAACTTTAAATTTTTCCATCTCTAGTTGGTATATATTTGAAAACGTCAGCTCTAGGAAATTTTCCTTTTTAATTACTTTGAGAAATTTTCCATTTTTAGGATTTTTTACTTTTTTGAACTTACAACTGTTACCCAATTTGATCCCTCGTGTTTTTATCTTTTTCATCTAAACTAGTGCCAATTTTGAATTTCCTGTTGAATTTTATTTTGGCATATTACTTTTAATTTTAAATAGTTTGCTCTTTTCCCCATTAACTCCTTTTTCTTCAAATTTTATTATTTAGTGAATTTATAATAATTATTTAATTTTTCAGGAGTTCTAATTAGGTATTTTAAAAGGTTAACTTCCGAAGTTTCTCTGAGGTCAATTTTTCTTTTGTTTTTTTTGTATCTTGAAGTCTACGAGGAACTCCAGGCTTTCTACATAACTATCCATTCATCCATTCATGATTAAGAAATAATAAATGAGGGTCTAGGAAAGCATTTGAGCTGTGTGTGTGTGCAGAATTTTTCACTTAAGTGTGTAGGTAGCAAGCCAGATAGTAGACTAAGAGTAAGAGTTGGAGGATGAGGAGTGTCATTTAAATGCTAAAATGAAGTAATTACTTTCAGTACCAGTACTCACATTAGCAGCGCCAATTCTAGTGCTCTTCAGTATATTTGTATGAAACCTATGTATTATCATTATTTTAGGAAGGTATTAGAATTTTGAATATAGGTGGGAGGAAAATGCTAAAAACTGTTGAGTTATACAGACTTTTTATTAATTTCTTTCAGTCCCACCTCTTCCTGACTGTTCTCAGACCTGCCATTTCCAAACTTAAATTTCTTGAGGGTTCTGTGCAATGGTCCTTAGCTTCCTTTGCTTTGGTTCCATTGAAACATCTCTAGACTTCTATTCTTTCTTCTCTGCCACATGTTTCATTCCTCTTCCATCTGCTTTTGGTCTTCCAGAAACTGCCCCCGCCCCCCTCTTTGTTAGGTGACATTCCTGTCATTATTTTTGATATCGAGGATTTATACCTTTAAAAAAATACAGTTTGGTCATTTTAAAAGTGTCTTAAGAGAGCAGAGATAGAACCTGTGCTTTTTGGTTTGTTGAATTCATACGTTCTCTATATCTAAAATGCAGAAGATAATATCAGGTGCTTTGTCATCCACAGTGTGTAGCGTATAGTGGATTCAACAGATGGTGGCTATATTAGCTAGTTCCTGCTCTGGAACATCATCTCCTGATCTTTCCTTTACCTGGAAGTCATCTTTGCCCAGTCTTTTGTCTCAGTCACTAGAGAACATAGTCATGTATTCTCTCTCAACTCCTTTCTGCCTCTGTGCCATTGATTTAAGTTCTTTTCACTTGATAACATTATTGTAATAACTTTCCATTTGATTTCCCTGTTTTCAGTTTTAGTTTTCTCTGCTAAGTGTTTTTAGTTGATTTTTTTCCTTGAAATTGACCTTCCCCCTTTTGCTTGGAATTGCCCTTTTCTTCCTTTACCTTAAAAATGATAATGAAGTAATTACAGATATTACATCATTTTATCTATAAACACTAAAGCAAGTATCTCCAAATCTCTACATGTCAGCATTATAATTTATACGTGCCTTTCTAGGGTGTCTTGCTGTGAGGGCAAAAAATTGCTTTTTGAATCTCTTCCTTTGCAAGGGCAACAGTGGAAGATTTCTAGTCTTTGCTGTCCCTATATGGATGATACTTTTTTAAATGGGAAAAAAAGGGCTGGGCATGTTTGTGAGCATTTCCTGCCATTTTACATACTAGGTAAAACCAGCTCTATTCTCATGTGAAACTATGCTGGTGCTGTTTTGTGCTCCATTTTCACGCACCTGTCATTGATAGTGTGATACTGTCACCGCCTCACCCAGCCCTCAAATAGACGTAGTACTTAGCAACACCTCAGTATGGTGAACAGTACTGATCTATACAGGAGGCACTTTTATGTCTACTATAAAGAGGATTGTGCCTATAGAGGTAATTTGCATAGGGGATTTCTGCACTTGTATCCCAAGAGAGAGGGCCTTGTAAAACTATTTTTTGACTACTTTTCTACCTTACCAGCTTTTTAACATTTTCAAGGTTTGCATATTCTTGAAGCATTACATTCAAAGTTAAAATTAGCATTTGAGCTTTACAAAGAGGAGATTGAATAAAATCATTTGATATTACTACTTTTCTACCTACAGAAAGAATGGAGAGAAGACAGAAATGGAGAATTTAAAAGGAAAGTTGCCCGCTGTGTAAGAAAAAGCCAAGAGACTGCTTTTGAGTGACATTTATTCAACAACTATAACTTCACTTATTTCAGGGTAAGTTCGTGTTAAACTCATATGACTCTCTTACCATTTTTTTGTTGTTGTTATCATTAATCTACAATTACATGAAGAACATTATGTTTACTAGGCACCCCCTTGACCAAGTACTCCCCCACCACACCACACACCCCATTACAGTCACTGTCCATCAGCATAGTAAGATGATGTAGAATCAGCATCTCTGTGTTGCACAGCCCTCCCTATCCCCCCCGCCCCACATTATACATACTAATCGTAATGCCCCTTTTCTTT